CCCCCCCCGCGCTAGGTTTCTTACAGGTGTCTTTCAGATGTTGGTATTACGGTTTGCTAGATGCGACCAGCCGACAGCCGGACGGCGTGGGTGTCTTACTGTTTCAAAATGAGGAGACTTACTGTGGCGAGTTGTGTAGTGGAATGCGTCATGGATGGGGTGTTTGGAGTGGATCTAGTCTGCGTTATGAAGGTGCCTGGGACAATGGTACGCGCCACGGTTATGGCTACTACCGTGCCTTGAATAATGACTCGCGCTACCTCGGTCAGTTCTCCCGGAATCTGAAGGATGGCCTCGCTGTTATTGTCACAGGCGATGGAACACTCTGGCGCACCCGCTGGACCCACGGCACCTGCGTCGAGAAGCGACTGCTCTTCGACGAACCGGACGTGCGAGGTCGTTCGCGCGGCAGGTCTGTAGGCCCAGCGGCCGACGGGACGGAATCAGCGGGCGAGGGGATGGACCCAGCGGCGGAGAGGAGCACAGAACCGGCGGAGGCAGGAGCCGTAAAGAATGCAGACACGGTGGAGGCTGCAGACACGGTGGAGGCTGCAGACACGGTGGAGGCTGCAGACACGGTGCAGGCAGCAGCCGCCATGACTAGAGAAGCGGTTGAGACTGGAGCCGTAGAGAGTAAAGATGCGTTGGAGGCAGGTAGCGCAGATGCAGGTGCTGCGGAGGCAGGTAGTGTGGCGGAGTCCAGGAGTGTTAGTAGTGATAGTAGCAGCGACGCGGAGTTGTATTTTGGGGGTTGGTTTGTGGAGTCGTGGAGTTCGAGCATGGTCGCGAAGTGTTTGGAGTGCACGGGTATCGCGTTGGAGTACTCACAGGCGATGGTGGAGAACAATGTAACGGGTCGGGTGATCCGGTCGTTGTTGTTGGAAGAGGAAGGTTTGTCTAGGTTGGGTATTCGTAACCCGTACGCCCGTCGATTTATCGAGATCGTGTGGTCCATGTTATTGGGGCGTACGTTTTGTGCCTCAGGTGGTTTGTCTTCAAGTCATACGGAGACGGCGCAGTATTCCCGTGGTACGGCGACTTGTTCAGCGTCATTACTGGGATTACCTTCCGCTCGATGTGATGGGTCTCCGTCGGCTCGGCGTGACGGTCCGGGGTCGTCTTCGTCGTCTTGTCCGAGCGTGAATGGCCAGTTGAGTTTGTCAAGTCTGTATTTGGAGAAGCGAATTGGTGAAGGTGGCTATGGCTGTGTGTACAAAGGTGGTTACGAGTTTACTCGGGGTGGTCCGCGTGTTCCGGTTGCCTGCAAAATGTTTGTGCGACGACAGGACATGCGTCGCGCTCACTTGCTGCGCCATTATTTGAGTAAACAGGGTACTCGGGGACCGGGTACTCGGGGACCAAGTCATCTGGAGCGGTTGAACCGGTTATGTATGTTACGTCAGCAGTCACCTTCCGAAAATACAGCAGAGTACGACATGCACAAAAGACTACGTCATCCCCACATCGTTCGACTGTACGGATTCATCAACGGTCCAATATGTTGTACCGTTAGTGAGTACATGACTTGTGGCAGTCTTTACGACCTGTTGCATGTGTACAAAAAAGGTATGTCCATCAACAACGTCATCAACATCGCCGAACAACTATCCTCCGCACTTTACTACCTACACCACAAAGGCATTGTCCATTGTGACCTTAAGACCAGTAACATACTTATCAACGATAATGGCCATATTAAGCTGTGCGACTTCGGCCTCACACACTCCCTCTTCGACTACCCCGATGGACACATCACCTCAAGAACACGACCCTCAAGAACACGACTCTATCTCAACAAGTGCATGGGCACCGTCCAGTACATGGCTCCCGAAATACTACGCTCCGAATTCATCTCCGCCAAGTCCGATGTCTTCTCCTTAGGTGTAGTCCTCTGGGAAGTCATCACAGGCACCATACCTTTCAGGCACGTACCGCCCAACCATATTGCAGCCCTCGTCGGCTTCATGGGACTCAACGTACTCGACTTCCACCCCGCCTACCAACACCATTCTGCCACAGCCCAAGCTAACCTCCTCTCTCTACCCCCACCCCTCCTACACCTACTACGCTCATGCCTCAACCCCAACCCCAATCGCAGACCCTCTGCAGAAGCACTCTACAAGTTCCTCATCGACCTTAAACAATCTAAAACCTTCTACTTACAACACAACCTCAAAAACTTCTTCGCACTCTGAACCTCCTTTAACAAGACCCCCCCCCCCCCTCTCCTCAGCAGCACATTCTCGTCACCTCTTCCCAAATGATGAAGAGACTCGACGAGATTCGACGACCCCTTTGAAGGCAGCCATTTCTGTTTTCGTTTTTCACATAGCTTGACCTACACCCCCCATCTCATGATTCATACCCACCTCACTTTCGGCACACGCTTGGCCACGGGACCGACCACACGGGCGAGCGCGACACAAGACGTTTGGCCCGCGTGCTCAGCTATTTCCCGTGGCGCGCATCGGTGCGTGTGTCAGCCTTCGCCGACATGCCGCGCGATTTCCTTGCCGGTGGCCCAGCGCACAGTAAGTACCTCGGAGGGCTCGTCTTCCACGAGCTTCCACCCGTTCATGGCCACCAATGCGAACTCGGCGGCCGCCCGGTAGCAGTAAGTGACGAAGCTGTAGTTGCGGTTGGCGACGACTTTGACGTTTCGCAGCGCGCCGTACACTGAGAAAGCGGCGCGCAATTGGCGCTCGATGGCGGCAAGATCTTCGGAACGAAGATAGTCGCCAACGAAAAGTGTTAGACTCGTCGAGTTGAAGGATCCCACGCCTCCCATGTCCTCCTTATGCTGTGCAAATCTCTCACGCCCAAAGATGTCCAGCGTCAATGGCAACTGCTCGCTCTCATATAGTGTAGGCACACGGTGAAAGAACTGACAGTTCACACCCCCTGTACACAACCCTCGCGCAAAGAATAAACACAACGGCGCTCGACCCGCCCCTCGCAAATCCGCCTGAGTAAAACCCGCGTCCACCAACGGCCGACAATGCCCCGCCGCCGGAACTCGCTCACGACGACCATCCGGAGTCCATCCCGTCGCCGAATACCCGTACCACACGTTCACCGACCGACCTTCCACGTACGCCACACGTTCCTCTCGCCGCTGAACTCGCGCCGGCCGCCGCAACTCGCGAGCCGTCGGCGGGTAATCGTGACGCATAAACACCCGCAACGTCGCCGGCATCGCGCAGTACTCCGGTAACAACGGCAACTTCTCCAACGCCAGAAACCGCTCCGTGTACAACCACTCCACCTCCTCCACCGTCTCTTCACCCACCGACGCATCTCCTCCCACCAGCGTACCCACCGCCACATCTGCTCCCACCGGCACGTCTCCTCTACGCTGAGGCGCAGCCGCGGAAGACCCCTGAACCCCGCGCTCCATGCCTCATCCAATTTATTATTCCCTGCGCTTGTGGTGTTCCAACCGCAACATGCATCCGCAGCGCTGCAATTCGTCCTGAACGCGTCAGTTTCGGCTGAGTCCGCCGACGAAGAAAAACCCGTGGTAGGCGTCTATCTGCGGCTGGGACCGTCGGTGCGGCTGGGACCGTCGGTGCGGCTGGGACCGTCCGTACGGCTGGCACCGTCCGGGCAGCTGGCACCGTCCGTACGGCTGGGGCCGTCCGGGCAGCTGGGACCGTCCGTGAGTCGCTAGCAGTCGCCGGTGCCGATGGCGCCGGGTGGTTGTGCCTGCAGGTGGTCGCGCATGAGTTCGTAGACGCAGATGCCGCCGGCGACCGAGACGGAAAAGGAATCGCCAGCGACCTGCGGGATAGCGGCGAGAGTAGAGCAGGCGTGCATGACGGCGTCGGAGCTGCCAAGTTCTTCATTTCCGAGCACGAGAGCCCATTGCTTGGTGGGACGAGCGGTGATGTTCTCGCGGGCACGCGGACTGGTGCCGATGACCTCGATACCCTTGGCCTTGAGCACACCAATCGTTTCGACGAGGTCGACAGCAACGTAGACCGAAAAGAAATTCATAGCGCCCATGGACGTGCGGGCCGAACGGCACCCAATCGCGGACATGGTCGTTTTGGTCACCACCATGGAGCGAATGCCAAAAGAAAACGCCGTGCGCATAATCGCACCCACATTGTCCGAGTTACGCACATCATCCAATACCAACATTGGAGGCGTCACAAATTTAGCAGCAGACCTGCGATCCAAGCCCCACTCACAATTCTGCCAGAAATAACTTTCGGCAGGCCGAGGAGGTAAGGGCGTCTCGGTTATCTGGCTAAAAAGCTCAGTACTAATCTCCGTCGCCGTTTGCAGGTCAATCAAGGCGGAACATGCCTGCACGCCATTCACTATCAGGCCCACCACCGCCTGATACGTCTCGCGAGAGACAATATAAACCCCTTCTATCAACCGTCGCTGCTCAATTAAAGGACCCAGCTCGTCAATTAAGTCCTCAATCAGCATCACCGATACCAACTCGTGACATCCACGGAGCGCACGGTGGACGACGGTCTTGGATATTACCGTAATGAAGTTTCTATCTCGGTCCAGCATCACCTTATGGAACCATGAGTAAACCTTATGGTCTCGTTTCCGGGTAAGCCTGTAAAACGCAAGCCGTACATCTTCCGAGTCATCGATTTGGTAAACAGGGTTGCACCCAATATACTTCACGGGGGCCGTCAACACGGCCTCATCGAGCCATTTCATTCCGGGGAGCCGCCGCGGTAGAGAAAAAATTTGTTAGGGTCATTTTCGCTGTCTCGTATATCGAAATGGCTGCGCCCGACGGCGATGTATCCGCAGCGGAATAACGGCGGCCCACCTTCCACAATTCTGCGCTCTCGTTGGGAGACGACATCCTCCCGGGCGAGGTCCTCACTGTTTTTGGAGAAGCAATTCCGCTTGGGGACCCGCAAGAAAGCGCTGTTGTCTTTGCGTAAACCTCCTCATGCTCCACTTCCGAGAGATTCGTTGATATGCATGCGTCGGAAGTCATGAGGGCAGTTGAATACTGTCCAGTGCCTGTAGACGGCAGTTCAGTGCCCAGCAATGGGGTTCCGCAATTTGAAGGGGGCTCCTGAACAATTCCTCCGAACCAGGAGACGACCGGCAAAGATGGGGACTCCATGATGGGGTGGCAGATAAACCTTGGACGCGGGGTGTCTTTCCGATGCAGCTGAGCCGCTGCGGCGCGATCAATATCTTCTGTTGGCATTCAGTAAGGTGCTTTTAAGTTTGTTTTTATTCATTCCCGCGTTTGCAAACGCGTGTGCTGGCTGTGGATGACGCAGAATTTATTTGTTATAATGCTGTATGTTTTGAATGCAATATTTCTTGTGGTATTCTTAACGAATGTGGTGGTTGGATATTATCGGCGACAAGCAGGATATCGGGTGTTGGGTAGCGAGTGTTTGCAATGGCGGTATATAACGAAGCATTTGGAGCAATATGATGGGAGTCAAAAAGTAGTTCAAGGTAGTGGTACGAGCGAGCTTGGTCGTTACAGGAAGAGTATCGCGGATGCCATATCAAGTTTTATGAACCGGTTGGAGAAGCGCTGCGAGAAAGCCAAGAATTTGGAGAGTGGTTGTATAGATCCTAGCCTCAGTGAAAATACTTCAAGTAGTCGCTTGCGCCGTCCGTCATCTATGATAATATTGGGAGAGAGCGCATCATCTGCGATACTACATTGTGTAGATGTTCTTCTTGGTTTGCTAATCAAATTTGCTTTTGTGGTATACGCCGTAATTCGTCTTGCATGCTCATGCGAGACGAGCGACTTTGAGCAGACTCGCCGTACCAAGTGGGCGGCGGTTCCGTACGACATGATTCGAAAGAATTGTATGAGACGGTACCGTGTGGTGTATATCCGACATGGAGAGTCAATGTGGAATAAATTGTTTAATCGGGGTATCGGGCTGGTGAGTCTTGGTCGTATTATTGGAGGAGTGATAGACGAGTTAATTATGGCAACGGAAGTCGACAGCCAGATTCTGGACTCGCCTCTTTCCGCCGTGGGGGTACAGCAAGCGAACGAACTTTGTTCGTGGCTACTGAGCGCTTCGTCCACTAACTCCGCCCCAGTTACCGGACCTACCCCGACCCCGACTAGCCCGACCCCGACTACATCGGCTGTTGCTATGACCGGTGGTGATGCTATCTCAGGTCCTCGGGCCTTTACGGAGTCGTACATGGATAAGTGCGTGTTCCTGTCGTCCAATCTGAGACGTGCAATGAGCACTTTACTCATCGGATTCGGCAAGAGAATCAAAGACAGCAACCGAGTGAGAGTGCTGTCCTGTCTACAAGAGACCACGAGAAACCCAGACTCTATCACCTACGCTCTCGAAGGCTGCGCTACACCCATTGCGCTCTTTAATACCGAAGAAGTACCTGACGAACTCGCCCAACTGGCCCTTACTAAACTGAATTGGATCTACAACAAGGGGAACCGAGGAGTATTCGAAAGGCTTAGCCATCGCTTCCAAACACTAATCGATTACTTGGACCAGTGCTATGAAAAAGAAATGGTGACGACATTCGTCATCTCCGGCCACTCACTGTTCCTTAAAAAATTCGTGCGGTTCTTGTTACCAGATGAACAATGTGCTACCCAGCTTGCAACACGCAGAAAGATCACCAATTGCGGCATGCTCACCTTCGACATCATCAGCACCGATCTCGACGGCAAACGCTACCACGCCATAGACAGCAAGTCAATCGAACTAACCAGAGGACACTACCTCTAACCACAGAACACTAACCAGAGCACACCAGCCAGAGCAGACTAGCCACCGTCATGAAGATCCTACGTCCAATGCCGCGCCAAGTCCAATGCCGCGCCAAGTAAGGGCGAGGGCCTGTCTCATTGTGACGGATTCCACAAAGTCCAGAGTCCCACCCAAGGGCCCAGAGTCCCACCCAAGGGCCCAGAGTCCCACCCAAGGGCCCAGAGCCCGTGGTCGGTTGGCGAAAGACTGTGGGAACTGCGCGTGGTGGGAACTGCGCGTGGTGGGAACTGCGCGTGGTGGGAACTAACTGCCCATGGTTGAATGTTACTCGTTCGTTACTTTCTCGATATCGTTTTTCACTTGGTCGAAAAGCTCCAACTGCGCCTGCGCCCAGATACGGGCGTTGTCTCCTACGGCGGTAGAGGCGGCTTGACTCTTAAATATCTCCGTTAATCGACCACAGCCCTTTAGCGCAACCTTGGTCAGCTCGAGGAGCATTTCGCTATAGTCGACTCCCTTGGTCTTCATCATCTCACACACAGTGATAACCAGACCACCGAGCGCCCGTACCCAGTTGGGTTCAAATGCGATCACCAAACAATAGTACTTGGCCGCTGCCACCAAGTGGCCTTGAGCAAAACACACCTGCAAAACTGGGAGGGGGGAGGGGGGAGGGGGGAGGGGGGAGGGGGGAAGGGGAGGGAAATGGGGGGAAGGGGAGGGAAAAGGGGAGGGGGAGGGAAATGGGGAGGCTTACGTCCGCAAGCTGTATCATGGCTCCCATGTTCATAGGACACAGAATGCAGGCGATTTGCTCAGCAGCAAATCGAGCCCGTTCCAAACTACAAATGAATACAAGTCATGTTAGGTAACACAAGTGGTGCATAAGTGGTGCATAAGTGGTGCATAAGTGGTGCATAAGTGGTGCATAAATCGGTACTCAGTTTCATTAAGGGCGATGGACAGCCTGTCTTTCCAAGCCGCGACGTCTGAGGGGCAGTCTTCTAGATACTTTTCGACCAGGTCCTTGTATTCGTGGGAGTGTTCGGAAGTCCGCATGGCAGTGAGAATAGCTCGGCGATAACTCATGTCGGTTTCGGCTGGGTCAAGTGACTTCGAGGCAACATCAAGTCGGTCCTGGCCCACAGCATCCGTGCGATGCACGGCCTGTAGACAGGTGATGGCCAATTTCTTCAAGCCGGCCGACTCTGGAAAAAGCTCCTTTAAGGAGCAATAGGCCGTCAGCGCTAATTCATCGTCGCCTACCGCTACACTTGCCTTGAGCATCTCGAACAAAAATGAGTCAAGGTGGCGAACCTGTTTCAACTGGTTGACACCCTTATCACCGCAACTGAGTAAAGCTCGACCCATGCGGTAGATACCTACCACATCTCTGCACACACCGAGTGTGAGCCCCCCACACGGTGTGTGTACCCCCATACGGAGTGTGAGCCCCCCACACGGTGTGTGTACCCCCATACGGTGTGTGTACCCCCATACGGTGTGTCTAGAGCGTGTGTGGTACGAGTGCTTACTGTTGTTCGGTTAATTGGTCGAATAGGGGTTGCTGCATATTTTGTTTGCATGGAAATCCAGACGGCGAACATTCGAGGTCCGGTGCAAGAGATTAGCCCGGAAGCATTGGAGGCGATGCTACGGCAGACGGGCACGAAGCAATTAGCGATGGGGGGAGATGTGGCTGAGGACGACGTGACGGGTGGAGACTTGATCATTGCGGAGGACGGAAAGATTACGTTCCAGCCTGCGGGGGCTGACCCATTGAAGTTACGAGGCATGGAAGTGGATCTCCCGGCAGATGCTGAAAATATAGGTTTTGCATTTGGGGGACAACCAGTAGTATTTCCAGACCCAGAGTCAGGTGCAGAGCCTCAACCATTAACAATAGTCGGCTTCAGCATTCCCGGGGGACCAAGCTTCAATGTCTTCGAGAATATGGGCGTCGATTTCCGCGCTCTCCAACAAGGACAAGTGAAGGCAGTTAGTGCCTCACCCGCTGACCCACTCCTCGCAAGAGCTGTGGCTCAAATGAACCAATTACAAATCGACCAACCGGTCAACATGGGAGACATCCTCCCTGCCGTCGGCAGTCTACCCAAACTACCCGATAATCCACTGCAGGGACTTACTCTAGTCAACCCTCAGATGCAATCCATCCCACATGAACTTAGGGCTACCGCACCCCATACCGGACGACCATCCATCACGACGCAGACCAGTCCAGCGGCCACATTGCCTCAATTGAATCAACTAACTTCCTCAGCACCCCAACTGACCTCTTTCTCAACACCCCCGCTGACCTCCTCGCTACCGCAACTCACCTCCTCCGCGCCCCTGAGTCCTTCTCCGGGTCGACGGGAACAAGCGATCGGTCCCATGGGCTCTCCCACTGCCTCTCCCACCAACTCCCCCACCAGCTCTCCTGTTGGGTTCCCCCGCGGCATGCCCGGCGACCTTCGCGCACGGCGGGTAGCGGAGGCACGGCGGCGACCGGAGCAATTTCGAGGTCCACGCGGCTCCGGACAGTCGCGCACTGTGCAACCTCTCGGAGCCCTAGAACCAAACGGCACAAGCCACCCGGGAGTCAATCCCGCGACTGCGGCGCCCCTTGGTGCCGGCTCACTGTCTCCCAAGTTCCAAGGAGCCACCCCTCAGCACCACCTGCCCCGCAGACCCGATAACGACTTCGGCGATCTGAAGATGCAACCGACGAAACCTAACAATCCTCGCTCCCGCTCCGTCGACCGCATGAAACGCGGCGATATCTTTACCCCTGTATCGGCGCCGGCCGCTAACGGTAAGCAACACCCC